TCTGAGTTCCCCTCAATCAGCTGTAGGGCCCCAAAAGGGAAGGTCCCGCTCCCTGGAGGTGCCTCCAGCTGGTGGCTATATTGTTTCTCTCGGTAGCCGCAGATAGGGACGGGGGAGGGGAGATGAGGCAATATGGTGCCTGTTCTGCCGCTCGGGTCTGTGCACAGGGAGATGCCCTGCAGGAGTTGGGAGCCTGGTGCTGCATCTGCTACAGGCTTACCAGTCACTGGCAGTGGCCGTCTCTGGGCTGGTGTCTGCAGGTCTCTCCACCCGCTGGGGAGCCCATCAGTAGTTCGAGATGCAAGGGAGGGAAAGTTAACCACCCCACCTACCCTTGCTGCTGGTCTCCAGGCTGCTCCAGAGGTCTCTACTTCCAGTTCTCCTCCACAACCTCCTCCCGTGGAATCTCCTGTGGTCTCAGGTACCCCTACTTCTGACCCTCGTCCTATGTATGCTCATCTTCTTGCTTATTTCTTCTAATTTCTCCTAGAATCTGTCTTTTCTGCAGAGACACTCTGTCTGGTGGTGTCCGCCACCTTGATTCCCCTCCTCGACACAAAAACCTATTTTTTTCTATTTAAAAAATAAAGCATACTTGAATAATTTCCAGGATTAGATAAAATAAAAAGAGAATGTGGAAGAGATAGTCAGGGATATCTCTTATACCCATTACATTGTAACAAGTTTAATTAACCTTTGTATTGTATTATAAAGGTAATTACTCATTGCATTGTAATACATGTAATGTAACCGTCTAACCTTTTAACACAGAAATGTTACCACCACTATGTCAAAGGGAATGAATCCAAAGGACCATTTGAAACCTACTGTTTTAGATAAGGTTCATCAACATGTTCAATTTGAAGAATACCTACATATGGCCATACCTGAGATTCTTTTCTCCAAAATAGTGAAGACATATCTTTCTCTCTTATACTTCCTTTGCATTTTTTATTCAGTTGCTTTACAATGTCTCCAATAGAGTATGATCAATAAATTATGGCCTTGCTCCAAGAAAAGCTCTAATGATTGACTTTAGCTATCTTGCTCACTTCGTTTTAAAAGGAACTACCTATTTAATTACCTTGTTCAGTAGTACTAATTTAACATATATTCCCAATTTAGTTAATTGCCTAATTGAAAACAATTAATTAAATGGGTTAGTGGGTGCCTAGCCATCATTAAATCATCAAAATCTATCCTTGAGCTACTGTAGAATCCAATATGTATATCCATTGTTCAATGTGGAAACTACTTCTTCCAAATGACAGTTTTGGTGCTTTACCTTTGGAGAGTTCTTCATGTATCACCTGGTTTCAGTTTCTTTATGGGCTTCGTGCCCCAGTGAATGTATGTGTATGTGCTTGTGCTTGCATAAAACACATAATTAACCTAAGCATATGACTGCAAATTCAAACACATATGAATTATACATCTTCGTTATTTCAAAGTAAACCTCTTACATTAAAGAACATACACATAGTAATAGGACAAAGTTGAAACCTGAAGAAATAATGTACAAGGTTATAAATCAGGACTGAGCTTATAAATTCTATATTTTAGGTCTAAAGTAGCCACTACAGAACTAAAAAATTGAAAACTAAAAAACCAAGAGTGTGGTTAATTTGACTAAAATTAGTACAAAGGTTTGTCATTTCACATGGAGCTGTTTAACTCATAAATGTATTACTTTATAAATATCTTTGAGCACTTACTAAATTCCAGACATTATTTTAGTCATTAGGGATACAGCAGTGCACAAGATAGACCAAGTCCATGCCCTCAAGAAGCTTATGGTCTAGCAAGTTAAACAAAGTGAGTAAACAAATATATAATTTCAGATCATGACCACATTCTAAAGAAAAATAAAGCCAAGTAAGGAAATTCAGAACAACCCTGGGGTAGGGGATAAAGTAATGATATTTGAGCAGAGACCTTAATGAAGTGAGGGAGTTAGCCTTGCAGATGAAGTAAAAATGTACCAGATGGGCCAGATGTGGTGGTTCACGCCTGTGATCCCAGCACTCTGGGAGGCCAAGGTGGGTGGATCGTTTGAGCTCAGCAGTTCGAGACCAGCCTGAGCAAGAGTGAGACCCTGTCTCTACTAAAAAAAAATAGAAATTAGCTTGACAACTAAAATATAGATAGATAGATAGATAGATAGATAGATAGATAGATAGATAGATAGATAGATAGATAGATAGATAGCCAGCCAGCCAGCCAGCCAGCCAGCCAGCCAGCCAGCCAGCCAAGCATGGTGGCACATGCCCATAGTCCCAGCTACTAGGGAGGCTGAGGCAGGAGGATCACCTGAGCCCAGGAATTTGAGGTGGCTGTGAGCTAGGCTGACACCACAGCACTCTAGCCTGGCAACAGAGTGAGACTGTCTCAAAAACAAAGTGTACCAGATGGAGAGGAAAGGAAATAGCAAAGATTTAAAGCAGGAAAAGCATGGTGTGGTCAAGAATCTGCAAAGCCAGTATGACTGGAGGAGAGAGAGGTAAATAATGAGGTAGGTGAGCTAGGCAAGAACTGGATGGAGACCTCTCAGAATGGGGAGGAAAGAGCAACAAAGAATGAGAGTGAGCAGGGTAGGAGAGTATAGCATCATAGAAGCCAAGAGAAGAAAGAGTTTCCAAATGGAAGAAGTGATGTAGTGTGTCAAATGATGCTGGGAATCTAGTAAAATAAGAACTACAAATTAACCACAGGATTTGCACACTGGATTCTTTCAACAGAGAGGTAGAGATCCTTTTCAAGAGTTTTTTCTGATTAGGAAATAGAGAAATTTTCTATTACAGTATCAGCTGCAAGAGAACACAAGATCAAGAGAGGTGTTTTACTAAGGTGAGAAACATTATAATGTAATGCATGGCCAATGCAAGATTAATAACAATAACAAATCTTGCATTGTTTATTACATTGCATTAGTGTGCAAATATCACACACCCACACTCCAATTCCCAAATAATGACTTCTTTAATAATGCTAGGTCAGCTCTTTAACTTTCCATCAGTCTTTTTCTTTTTTCTTTTTATAATCTTTTGGGTGTTTTTTTTTCCTTAATTTTCATTTTGTAATAATTTCAGACTTACGAAAGCTTCCAAAATTAGTACAAAGAATTCCAGCATATTCTTCTTCATCCCCAGATGTTAACATCTCATATAATTACAGTAAAATGAACACAACTAAGAAATTAATATTGATTTTATAAAATACTATTAACTAATCTACAAGTCTTATTCACATTTTTCCACTTGTTCCCCTAACGTCCTTTTCCTTGACCAGGATTAAATCCATTTCAATCCATTATTACTCATTGCACTTGGTTGTCTTATCTTCTTAGTCTCCTCCAATATAGGACAGTTCCTTACTTTTTCCTCATCTTTTCTAACCTTGACACTTTGAAGAGTACTAGCCTATATAAGTTTTGGAGAATAATCTTTGCTTTGGATTGGTCTGATGTTTCCTCATGATTAAATTCAGGTTATGCATTTTTTGCAAAAATATCGCATATATGATGTTGTATTCTTAGTACTACATGAAATCAATCTATCTCATTACTTGTGATGTTAACTTCGGACACTTGGTTATGATGATGTCTTTCAGGGTTTTCCAATGTAAAGTTACCATTATTCTTTTTGCAATTGAGAAGTATCTTATAAGGAGATACTTTCAGACAAGTGAGCATCCTAATTTTCATCATCATACTCTTCTCTCCATTGGTTTTAGTATCCATTAATGATTCATGCCTGCAACACTACAGTTTACGACAGTGTTTGCAAAATGATTTTTCTCCATCATTTCTTTCATATTTATTAATTGAAATATACTATAAGAAAGAATTGTTCCTTTTCTACATTTACTTAATTTTTTATTTGTATCATTAGGTACTCATTTTTCTATAAGTCATAATCTGTTATCATTATTTATATTATTGCTCAAAATAATCTCAGATTTGGCCAGTGGAACATTTTCAAGTTGGTTCCTTTGGACATATCCCCACCATTTTTGAATACTTCTTTACTTTTTGGTACCACAAAATGTTTCAGGATCACCCTATACTGTTTCTGTTTCAGCCTTGAAGTCTGCCATTTCTTTAAGGATTTCTGGTTTCTATTATTGGAGTCTATCAATCTTTTTCTTTATCCTGTACCCTAACCTGTGAGTTAATTTGCTTCTCAGAAATACTAAATGAATTGACATAAATTATTATAAAAATTCTCAAAATATATACCAACTCCAAAATAAGTTAAAAATTATTTCAGTCACAAATTGTATACATGATCCCAAGTTACTTTTATAACTTGGGATTCTATCAGAATGTAATAAATCTTAATATAACTTTTTTACTCTTAGCACTGTCTTAGAGGAGATGTGTGTGTATATGTAGTATGTATACAAATACAAACAGATTTGAAAGACATTGGCATAATATAAAAATCAGCACATACATAAAGGCAGGTGGCTTTGTGGAAAGAGTATAGGCATGAAACCAGAGAGAACTAGGGTGGCATCCCAGCTCTGCCAGTTACTGGCATGTTACCTTGAGCTCCCTGAGCCCCAATCCTTCCGTTTGGAAAGTGGAGGTAATAATGTCCAGTTCATAGAGATGCTATAAGAATTAAATGAGTAAAAAATGTAGGTAGAGTGCCTCACATGTGTACTTAATAAATGGTAGCACTGATTTTTGTTATTAATTCAATTAGGTATGCTTTGATTTATATTACTATAGTACATTCATACTATACTCAAAACTCTTTCATGGCACGGAAATACAATGATATATAGTAAGGCATTCAATCTTGAGGAAATCATTTCTCACAATCAGAGCTGATAAATCATCAGAAAGTTATTATCTCTCAGGTAATAACTAATCACTCTTTCAAGAAGAGGCATAAAAAGGATATACACATTAAACTTTCTACCAAATGAAAATCTGTTTGGGAAATGGTTGGATAGAAAATTTATCCTTGTAAAAGATTTTAAAGTGTGTTTACCAGACCCAAGCATTCTTCCAAAGTGTCTCAAAGGCCACAAGACCACAGTGTGGTACAAGGCTGAAGAGATGGTGTTTGGTAAGGGGTGAGGTTCACTGCATCCATCAGAACAGTTCCACTCTCATCTGTGTATACATTGGACTTCACTTGAAGAATAGGTTCTTAAGCTAAAACAAACAAACAAAGGCTAAACTGATTCCCATTACACTCCCTCGAGTGTTTTTCACTATACTTCTATGAGTCAACAAATTTGATTTAAATAATCACTAAAACAAGACAGAAAATTAAATTGCAAAGGCATAGTCCAAGTAGAAACGAATTTAAAATTAAATAAGTGGCACTGAGGAGAGAGTTGATAAATATCTCAAATTAATTATTCATGAAACAGCACATCACTGAAAACTCAAGTAAAAACTTGCTTAGTTTCCCATCTTGCACACTGTCCCATACAGTAATCAGATTTTCTCCCTTTCCATAGTCCCCAGTGTATTGCAGAGTTGGACAATTAACTCTAAATTTTCTCTTTTCAAATGCTCATAACTCATCTGACCCTTAAGGGAGAAATTCTCACATGCTTTCTCAGAGTGAGGGCCATGTGAATCCCATTGTTTTTAATATAAATCACACTTCTTAAATTCTACAAAGGGCTTTAGCAATTTAGGTATTCACATTTCAATAGCCAAAGCTGTTGCTTTTAATTTGCTCTGGGTGTTTTTTCCTCCATTAAAACTGTTGTAAGATATTTATGGTGCATGTCCATGAACAAGATACTTATAGCTTCTTTCCTTCTCCTGTTGTGTCTGTGCAGTGCACTACAGTTTCTTCACTCTAATAATCCTCCACTAGGTATAGGAAATGTGTACCAGTCAGTTTATATATGATAGGCACAGTCCTACTAATCATGGAGACTTATGAACTTATTATATCTAAATATTCCAAATATAAAGATAACTTTAATAAATAACTTCAAAAATATTCATGAATTTCCACTTAGGAGTAATTGTACTTTTAGTATGTGACCATTGAGAAAAATGCATAATGGCAAGAAGATATTATGGATTATATAACCCTATTAATGAACCTATGCTTTCTTAATTACAAGAATAGGTTTCTGTATGTTCATCACATCATCTGAAATAGTACATATGTGTGTGAATATATTATACAGAAAAGGCTTAGCACAACCATAAATTTGTAGACCCTTCACACTAACTCTGGGTCCTTGGAAATCCTCACACTACATGCTGCATACTACTGGTAGTATATGGTCTCTGGAGTCAGAAAAACCTGGTTTAAATCACAGCTCTGCCTCTTATCAGTTGCATGAACTTAATCTCTCTGACTCCCAGTTTCCTTATCTGATAATTCTAATTTTAGGGTACAGTTTGTGTGCATTAAAATATATATAGCCCTTAATATATAATAGTAATGATGATTAATAATTATTGTGTGTTCACTGTGTGTTATGTATTGGGCTAAGTACTTTATACATTTGTATATCTGTACATGTTAAGACATGAGCTTGTAAACAACAATCCCATGAAGTAACTGTGGTGGTCAAGAGAACACACATCAGAATCTAAGCTCCTGGGTTCAAATCCAGGCTCTGGACTTCAACACCTACTGGCAACATGACCAGGGACAAATTACTTAACTTCTCCAATATTTTCTTCCTCGTCTATTTTCTTCCTCGTCTAATAATAGTCCTTACCTTATAGTAATAGTATTTGGCAAGTGCTTAACACAGTGCCTGGAACACAGTAAGAATCTATGAAGACTATATAATGTTACGATTTTATAGGTAAGGCAAGTGCATTAAGTAAATTAACTTGCTCAAGGTCACACAGCTGTTAAAAGGCAGGACTGGGGTTTTAATGCAGACTTCTCTCTCACTTTTACAGGTGTTGGCTTCTTTCACACATATACTTGCTCCAATTCGCATGACTCTCCTCTGGGGTCCCAGCCTCCTGGGACAGGGAGGCAGCTCAAACTAAGCAGCAGGCAGCTCTATTGGCTCCTGCTGAGTGACCCAACAGGTGAGTAAGCTTACTCACCAGGAGAATTGAATTCTCTGTTTCCTACCTGAAGCCCCTTCCAAGGAACAATGCAGACAGCTAGAACAAGTGAGGCAACACAGATTTGCAAACCCTGATTTATTGTATTGGTTGCAACTCAGCAGGGGGTGAAACAAGCAGTAGGCTCAGTACCCAGAAGCACTGGAGCACACAGACTCAATAAATCTGTAACGCACAGCCCAGGTCTATCCCCTATAATCTCTCATCTTCCTTCCTCTGAGTCATGTTTGCCAATTCCCCTTAAGGTGGAACTAACCTAATCATATTTTTGCACCTTTCCTGGATATTAATTCATTTATTTAAGGATTATCTTTCCCTAATATGATTAACATAAAGAAAATGCCAACACAGGGTAGTGCAGGGACAGTTCAGTCTTTGCAGAAATTTAGACTCCACTTGGTTGAACCCCAACTATCCACTCATCCCATTCTTAAGGTATAAGTACTGAGAAACAGGGAAGAACCTTTCCTCTATGTCTCATTGGCCAGACTCATCTTATTCCTACAGGTACTTCCACTTGGAATCCCCAGCCCAATATACTCTGTTATTAATTCAACATGAAACTAAAATTGAGAACCCAGCTTTCAATGTCTTTCATAAGTCCTTCTACCACACTGAAATATGGCTTTTAAATCTTAAGCTATAATTCTTTTTTAATATATCTCTGTTCTACCAACTAGCCTTAATACATATCTCTCCTCTAATATGACATCCACTTCTCATTAATACCATATGGAACTTTCTATTTAAATTTGACCTCAGAAATACCTGAAACATTCTAAGACACAAACTGCAGTAGGCCCAACAGACTTGGGACCTTAATGAAGTTCTCAATGTCACTGAACTTTTGTATGTTAGAATGATGCAAAGACTTTTTTTTTATTATATGACCCCAAAGACCTTCATAGTTCCCTTTCTATCTGTGTAACCTGACAAATTATTTAAAATTTTTTTTGAGACATTTCTTCTCAAAATCATTCAAAGATTCAAATTCGGGAGTTGGCCTCAAGATTACACATCCCCCTACCAAGACCCTCATTTTTTGAACAGTATCTTTTTTTGCATTAATAGACCATGCTTTCTGATCAGTACAACAGCCTCTCCTCTTTGTGTCTCCATTTGACAAAACTGGCACTTAAATATGGGCAAAGTGGATTGACATATTCTCAGCAAATAACAGAAGAAGACTGAATAAAAAGTTAGTTCTCAAGGGGGGGGCAGGGGCAATATACGTAACCTTAACATTTGTACCCCCATAATATGCTGAAATTAAAAAAAAAGTTCTCTATTCCTATGGAAATTATCAGCATAATCTTGAAAAAAAAAACTGAAAATCAAAAGTTCCGTTAGAAACACACAAAGCCCCCTTTGCCAAATTGAAAAGGACAAAACTGGTACAAAGAGAAGTTCCAAGTTTTTGAAAGGTCATTATGAACAATAAGATTTTCAGAAAAACTATTAAAAAACATTTTTTGGCACTGCCCCTTGAAACAAGTTGAAAGACAAAATAAGCTAAAATGTGAAGCCTATAACCGGGTGCTCAGTCAGTTCCTTGAGAAAACAGTCCCAGAATCATAATTCTATTGCCTTACTCTTGACTTTCAAGTCTGAAGAATTTTCTTTTGATTAACTCCCTTTCAGTGTGGGCTCCACAGAATTCTGATGGCAAACTTAGAACTTGAACAACTAATGACAGGGCGGTTTCCCACAGCAGGCCTTCAGGAAGAGGTGGATGGATTGGCCCGATTTAGGGCTCCCTTCTCAACAAGCCCCAGGATCTAATAATCAAAAAAATGGGCAAGGACGAAACAAAAGGCTCAGTCTGGAAGATACACCCAGTCAAAGCTGTTTTCTTCTCCCAACACACACTCGGAACAGTTGTGTAACTTTTATTTTTTATTTTAACTCTCTGAACTTTCTGCTTGTATACACAATGACTAAATTGAACCACTAATTCAGTGGTGGGGAAACTTTTCATGTTGGAAGGCCATATTAATTTAGCTGTAATCAAATAAGACCGCATTCAAGAAACTTCAATTAGATATACTTTAAAATGTACATTATTTTATAAAAATCAAACTACTATGTAGTTAATAATTTCAAAAAATGGGCCAGGTGCAGTGGCTCACGCATGTAATCCTAGCACTCTAAGAGGCCGAGGTGGGCGCATTGCTCAAGGTCAGAAGTTCAAAACCAGCCTGAGCAAGAGCAAGACCCCGTCTCTACTAAAAATAGAAATTAATTGGCCAACTAAAAATATATAGAAAAGTTAGCCAGGCATGGTGGCACATGCCTGTGGTCCCAGCTACTCGGAAGGCTGAGGCAGAAGGATCACCTGAGCCCAGGAGTTTGAGGTTGCTGTGAGCTAGGCTGACGCCACAGCACTCTAACCCAGGCAACAGAGTAAGACTCTGTCTCAAAATAGTAATAATAATAATTTCAAAAAATGAAAGCTATTTGTTAATTTTAATGTTAATTAACCTTCAATGACTTTGTGGTATCTGCTTTTTGTTGGAAAGTATTTGAATATTTGGTTGCAGCATGGAGGTCCACTTTCAGTTGATCCTCTAGATAGATATCAGTCATTTCTGAATTTAAGGGCATCTTGATTTGGGTTAGGTAGGAAAATGTAGATTCACAGCAATAAGTGGTTGAAAAGCAAGAAAGCATTTTTCGGGCATGTTGCCAAAGGCACGGGTATTCTGCTGCATTTTTCCATATTTCAGTTGGTCTTTCTTAGCATCAAACAATGACTCTAAAATGTCATGTACTGAGACCTCAGTCAATTCTATCTGTAGTTCTTTAGTGCCTTGGTGATATCAACTAGGTGAGACCGAAATACTAATTTGAGTGTGATGTCATAATTCTCAAAGTCTGTGAATCTTTCATTGCATTCTCCAATTATTAATAATAGGTCTATAATAGCTGTGTATTCTTCAAATGATTCACATATATCATTCCGCCCATCAATGACCTTTGCTAACTGGGAAAAATGTTCATCTGAAATTTCCTTTTGAAGAAGTAGTGTTTGGAAAAAACATAGTTTTTTAAGAAATGTATGAATTTTTTTTTCTACATATCATATATATCCT